GACGAAAATAAAAGTAGGCCGTAGTGCCGCTGTCAGGACAAAATTACCCTCATAGCCCACATCATGGCGTGTGTTCGTCTTCATTTTCCCAGTCGGTGCAGAAAGGTAGGACGTTACACCCCATTTCATTTATAAGATGATTAGCTTCTATTTTTATCCAAGAACGTTTATTCTTTTGTTTACCACCTATTTGCCAAGGAACGGAAAACATTTTGTGTTCTTTCTTCGCGTGACAATTATTTTTGAAGAACCATGTTGTAAATCAAGTGGCCAGGAAAGGATGACTAAAGGGCGGATTTTTTCTTCTGACTTGTACTCCAAATACACTTGACTATTTCTTGACGCAGATTAAGTTGAAATTATGGAATCTTTAAGAGACGTTTCTGTAAAAAGTATTACGCGACACTGATAATAGGTTTATGGCCAGTGGTTGCAATACGTGAATGAATAGCCGAACTCACGTCGATTATGTAAACTTTTGGGGGCTTTCAAAACTGGTCGAGAAAACAGAATGCACATATTTTCAATGACAATCTTATCTACTTAAAATAAGTTATAATTTATATTCGTTTTTCACTTTATTTTGTTTCAAATCTCATAGTTTATATCATACCCGGAGAACGCTAGATCGGAGACGGTTCTGCACTTAGACGCCATATGTGGATTATGGGTTAGGGTAAGTGTTAGGTTTGGTCCAGGGTTAGGATTAACGCTAGCCCTGTTTACATCTCGAGACGAATCGGCATGTCCTAACCCTAACCCACAATCCACATATAACCTTATATGTGCTAAAATGTGCAGGACCGTCTTCGATCCAGCGTTCCACATCATACCCTCAGAACTATTAAAAAAAAAGAAACAAAACGAGTGTTTAAATGGGGAACGGGTTATATTGTAGACGTGTTACAGCAATATCTATATTGATATAAAATATTAACCGATAAATGTACTTTCATTACCTACTTTTATTCAAAGGTGCTTGTGTCTCGGTTGTCCATTAGTCTGTCACTAATAATTTATTAGGTTAACTTGATGCCTGTAGTCTTTCTGGATCGGTAATCCAGTCTTTTGGATAATCTAATCTTAATGCCTTTCACAGAAGACACTTTTCATAATCCTATTACTATAGTCTAAGCTAGGAATAAATTGTCAGACAATATTTTGAATAGAGAGAGGTTTCTTCAGTTCCGTGTGCTATGTCCTGTGTGTCAAAATGTGTTTTTTCTTGAAGGTAAGTCTACGGTGGTTATTATTTAGAAACTCTGTCAAACTACTTGGCAAATATATAGTAAATGATGCTGTTGTTCAGGGACGATTGTTGTGAATGCTGAAAAATGGGATTTTTAGCAGCCGAAACGGAGACTACTGAGATGGGCCTATCTAGACTACTACGTGTAGCCTACGATTTTTAGACGAAATAGTAGGCTACAATTACCGGGTTGTACATTAATCTTTAACAGGCACGAATTGTCCGGGCTAATAAGCAAGCATTTCCTCGAGAACTCTACCAAACTCTACCACTGGAAACATACAATACCACGGACATTCTATATTGCTCTTGAACTATACCATGGGCGTTTCTATATCATTTCAGAAGTGTTATCGAGTGTCCATCCACCCGTCAACATTCTTGCAAAGACCTAAAACTAAGGAACTATTTTGAAATTTAGATTCGTGCTCAGTTCTTTCGAAATCTAAATTCGTGCAATAGTTTTTCAAATCAATGTTTGCATTCTTCAGATAGTACTAAGGAGTTACTGTTCCTTTTTGAGGAAAAGAAAAAAAAACCCTGAGTGTATGTTTTGTGCATGAGCTTTATTGTGGCATGTACAGTAATACGTGATGTTTGCCATGTTCTTCTATGTCAAGCACATTTAACCTGCAGTTTGATTTATGAAATATTATCGCCATCTGCAGTTCGCTAACTAACTCTTTTTTTCTGATAATCTAAAGTTTTTTTAATATCGGATTTGTTTTCTATCATGTTTGGATGTAATTTCTGTTCATGGTGGGACCGCGGTGGTCCAGCGGTAGAAAACTCGGTAGAAAAGGAGTGTCCCGAGGACGAGGTTCTAATGCTGGTTGTGGTCCGATTAAGAGTGATTAATAAAAAGCCTTATATATATATATATATATGTTGCTTACCTGAAGAGCTTAATAAAATAAGCGAAAGTGCTTGTAATCAACAATATAAAGTAGTTCTTTTTTCAAAAACTTTTATATTTTTGTTTATATATTTGTATATGGACACGGGATTAGCTTTATTGGAAAATATATTCCATTAAATTCTGTGTAACCAGACCGTTTCATTGGATCAATAATTGGATATACTATTTTGAGATATTTTCTGTGAATTACAAAATAATATAACTGTACGTTTAGACTTACGAAACCCTTTTGTATTTCTCAAAATTTCCGGAAATTAATTAATCAGATTGAAGAAAATATTCCATTTCCTAGATATTGAACGTCATACGTTTCACAATTAAAAGCTAAATTTGATGAGTAGAAACTCGATTATTTATTAATGATAATTATATATTAATAGTAATTTAAGACAGTTCTTAATTGTGCTAACATTCTTCATTATGTATACGTCGATGCTAAAACAAACTATATTGATTTTAACTTTAACACTTTCTCACACCCTAATGGTTGTAGGTTTTTTTTGCAAATATTTTCGTATCATTGAGTACATTTCTCTCGGTTTTATACGGATGATTAAACTAAATTGCAGAATGTCAAATTACTTTCGCTTTAAATACTAATTTAATTGGTTTAGTCAAATTGATGTACATTTTACTTCCTCTGCATTAGCACGATTTTATAACATGGACTTCAAAAGAAAATACATTTGTATAATTTTTTTCTGACATCTGTGAGATTTTTGCACATTACTTGAAGATCTTGTTCTTCAAGTTGTTGATGACAATGAATCAAAAACATTATCATTAACTTTATCAATTTTCCTAAGTGCACGATATTTGGCAAATATTTCTTAGGCAACGTAATACGTGTACTTAAAAGACATAAATTGGTCAATTTAGTTGGGGTTTTTTCAATTTAATTGTTTACAAACTCTTGTATACCATTTCAGATTTGTCTATTTCCAAACACTGACATTAACGTGTGGGTGTATTGTAATATAGCCTGTGAACCCGATAGAATCTACAGTTTCAACGGATTTTTTTTTTCAAATTGAGTGTAAAGCATTCCGGTCACGAGAAGACGAACCCTATCGATTTTTAACCCTTCAGGATCATCCGTTCCGGAGTATACTTGTCACCTTTTCTAAAAATAAACATTGTTAAAGAATACCGTTTGCTAGAATTGTTTTAAACAGGAACTGATTGCATACACAAGGTAGTCTCCTTCGATCCTATTTCGTTTCGTTTTTATAGTACAAAATTTCGTATAACTTGCTTTCACTACACTAGCATCTGGATGAGTTGTTATATAACCCGCGTTCTGGATGATGTGAGGGATTGGCCAATGAAATTGTCTCGTGTGGCGAGTTCTTGGCGTGCTGTGTACGGAACTGTGGGTAGATATTCACAGCGGAGACAAAGCATTTCCAAATGACGACTTGAAACATCTACGTTGATTGGTTAATCAAATATCTGACTACATAGGGTCGAAAGCCGCTCGCGTAATCCCTGACGCGACCTCCCACTACAACCCGTCAGATTTTCGTGACCATAAAAAGTATAAAAAAAACGAAACGAAATATAGATCTGTATTTTAATCAGAATACGAAACGTCAAGATTGCTAATCATTTATAGTGCAGATTCGTTCTTGTTCTGAACGAATAAAAATACAATTATTGCGTGCCTTCCATATGTTGAGACGCCAATCAGGTTACAAGATATGGAATTTACATCCGCTGTGGCCTTGAACATAGCTCATGATTAAACCAGCTTAATAAGTGTTTGATTTGGATCTCGTTATTTTTTCTGTTGTTCATTTTTGCGAGTATATCTATACATTTTTCATCAATTCTCGGGCTAAAGATTTCCATTAATTAACTAATTGTCTGCTTTTAAATCGAGATTAAAGTCATTTTGTCATGCGAGGGAGCTATCCAATCTGGATAAACTTTCTCTCTCTAATTAACGTTACTGGCATCCGTCTGTGAATCGCCAATTGTAATAAAAGACATAAAGCTATTTATAACTGTCCTTCGCTTCGGACAAAATTGGCAAGGGAATTCTCCAACATAATTCAAACGTTTCATGTTTATTTATAACTGTCCTTCGCCGCGGACAAAATTGACAAGGGAATTCACCAACATCATCTGCTTCCCACATGCAGAGTTATGTTACATGCAAATCAGGCCCAATGCTTGACAGGAACATGGGGTTTAATCGGACCCCTAACTGATAGCTCACAGTAGGGATTATGCTAATGTGTTTGCTGTCTAATACCATATTGAGTATGTCGGAGTATTCTCTCTTTTAGCATCTGCATGTTGCAAATACCAAAAAAATAAATGATGAATTCCAAATATTGAATGTTTTTTTATCAAGCGTGATTTTGTGGGAATTATTAAATCTTTTCCATATGTCACTAAAATGTTTTTTGATAATAATTTAGTTGTTTTTCAGATGTCAAATATAATTGCAAATAAAAACCAAACCGCTGCCTTTTAATTCAAATATATCTGTACGTAAAACGTTTGAATTATAAATGGGGTCCATATGGAACGCCGTAAAAACCCACACGTGAAAACGGGCCTTAAACAGGAACATATAAAGTGGGGCTTTAAGAAATATTCTCAAATTTAACCTACGAGAAACTGGAAACCTAGGTATTCCCATTTTCAAGATGTTCTCCACGGCGGCGGGAGAGACGCCCATAATCTCCCCATCCCCACTCTCGATCACCATCCTTAATGATAGCCTGCTCAAACTATGTATGCCCAAGACACTAGTTTTGTATATTAGATTATTTGTATCTGTTTGTTTCCGATATTACACTAACTAGTATTTTATTATTCCAGGCTATTAGAATGAATATGGATACTGATGACGAAGATGATTGTGGGTTTTTGGGATATGGTTATGAAGATTTAACGTTTTTGGAGGCGTGTTTAGACAGTGATATCGAGGCTATACAAGCCATTATAGAAGAAAACCCAACGGAAGACGAAATCAATGAACGAGATAGGAGTGGAAGGGTAAGCAAACTTCCTTTGTCTGCGATATCACTCTCGGTGGAAGAAGACGTTAAGCACGACAAGCAAACGAACCAGCAAAGCTTAGTTTCACGTCGACTTTTTTGGTGTGATAGAGAGAGAGAGAGATGGGGTTTAACGTCCACTCAACACAAAACTAGGTCATTTCGGGACTAACGTATGGTTCAATTTTATTTCAATACTTCACTTGCGCGTAGGGTTCTTTAGCAGTGTGAGGAAACCGGAGGACGCGGAGAACATCCACGAGGTTGGACAGGCGATCCTACTCCTTGTCACGTACATACGGGGAATCGAAACCACTCCAGTTGACTCAATGACAGACTTTATGATACAACGCTAACCATTCTGCCATCCAATCCCCCTGGTGTGATAGAGGCTAAGATTATAGCTTGTTCGAGTATTGTACTTTAGTTTTGAAAAAGGGGTTACGCGACTCAAATACCCAACGTAGCAGAATAAATTTTAATGTTAATTGTATTTAAATACATACACACAGAATGAAAATAAAATAGGATTTAACGTTCCACCCTTCTGCACCAAAATGGGCTAATGACGACGGCGTGCAATGGGCTATGGTGGAAATCTTGCCCAATTAGTGGAGTTTCAGCTCACTTGATTGAACGTGTACATAGGACGTCGGTTTTCCGAGCGGCGAGACACTGGCCCTGGTCTTACTCTCCGCTCTGTACCTCTGACAAGGGGAAACTAAACAGAGAAATCCCAAGGATCGAAGCCGGGACCTCTTGCTTTATGACCCAGCTACTTCGTGACTCACTGTGCTAACGTTGCTCCCCAGACACTACAGTATATTCATCAGAAAGATAAACATTTTGTTTCAACGTCTTCTTTCAATGAAGACGGGTTGCAACCTCATAAAACAAATCAGCACATAAATTTGAATGAAATATTTATTTTATTTGTGACAAAAATCAAGGTGGCAGGGCTATTTCAATTCTTATATGAAAATTATCTAGCACACACAAATTAAAAGATTGTCAGTGAGAGAACATCAGTCGTCAGCTATAGCTCTTACTTTGTTGTTTGTATTACCTCGAGCATCAGATAGTCACTCGGGTTTAAAGGTTGGGTGTATCATTTGCATTTTCGCTAAAATATCAAATTTCTCACGACTTAATCTTCCGTTTGGATTCAATCGAACTTAAACTGTGTCCACCAGGTTTGTCCATTACCAATAGTAAGCCGCATGACACTTCTGTTTATCATAAATATGTTACTACGGAACCGAATTGGACCATTTTAGACTGCTATTCCTATTAGACATTAAACCTTCACAATATTGTAGTTTGCGAGGGATTCCTACAACTTTAACTGACGCATCGGGTCCTTAAGCTTTAAGAAAAGATGGTTCACTATACGATATCTAGGATGAAAGCTTGAAAGGGAATTGAATAAAATGGGGATTTACGTCCTACTTTTCTGCAGCAACCAAGATAATGAAGATGGGTTGTGTAGACCTTACTATAGGGAAACTTTTGTCCGGACATATATTCTTATTGGGAATTCCTTCTGCGAAAGGGGATCTTTTGCGTATACTACCAATTTGTACACGGGATCTCGGTGTTTCGTCACGTATCCAAATGGCTAGACTCATTTCTTGCCAGGGTCTCCGTCCTGTACCACATACTGGGAGAAACAATACAGGAAAATCCCGAGAACCTTCCTCGGTCGATACCGTGTTCGAACCTAGTTAGTGAGAGAGAGAGTACCATTTTCACCAAACCACCGCAGCTCCAACTTTACAAGATATACAACTAACGTGTATACTAGTTGTATTCTTTCTAAACCTCAAACTCTCAAGCAATTAGGGATTTTCCGACTTGGTTCCCCCTTGTCAGTGGTGCAGAACGGAGGGCCTGACAACGACAGCTATCTAGTCCTTTGGATGAGACGAAAAACCGAGGTCCCGTGTATACATTGGAATGCACGTAAAAGATCCCTTGGCAGTTGGAATTCGAGTAGGCGATAGTGCCGCTGCCCGGGAAAAATTTCCCTCATAGCACACAGTATGGCGTATACCCGTCTTCATTAGCCCGGTATAGGAGCAGAACAGTAGGACGTTAAACCCCATTTCATTTCACTTTCATTTCTCAAGCAATTAAGGTATTGGTTTAGTTTGGTTCTCGATTTTTGTCATTTGTTTTTTTAGTTCCGAGAGGCAAAAAGATTAAATCTAGAATCCAAGTAGTTTTTGCCAGGTAACATTTCCCTTAAGCTTATTTAGTGGCAGCTGGATTATCAAGTACATTAAACCCGTCCATGTGACTGTCATTTTGAAGATAAGGTTTCTGAGATGTAAATCTCTAGAGACATGAACATCCAGTTTTATTTGCACTGATATCAAAATCAATATTGGGATAAAGATACAGAGAAAGATATATATATATAGAGTGGGGTGGAGTAGAATATTGAATAGTGAGGGGGTGGTGATTATTGGGTTGGAAGTGGTGTTTATTAGAGATTTCTTAAGGGATGAGTGGGTGTTTATGAGAGGATGGGTTGAGTGTTTATTAAAGGTATAGCGGGGTATTGCGGGGCGTTTATTAAAGGGATACTGGGGTAGTGGGTGGTGGTGGTGTGTCGGGCGGGGGTATTAAAGGCATTGGGGGGGGGGGGGGTTAGTGGGGTATTGAGGGGTTGTGGGGTAGTAAGGGGATATTTATTATAAGTATAGCGGAGTATAGGGGTGTTTATTAAAGGTAGAGTGGGGTATTGAGGGGGTGTTTATTAATGATATTGTAGGTATTGAGGGGGAGGGGGGTGTTTATTACAGGTATAGTGGGGGTATTGAGGGGGGGGGGGGTATTTTAGATATGGTTAGGTACTGAGGGGGTGTTTCGTAAAGGTAAAGTGGGTATTAAAAAGGGAGAGTGATGTTTATTGAAAAATGTGTGATGAATTCTGCCTGGACAAAACAAAAGACAATATCTCCAAAAAAACTCAACTTAAATCGAAACTAGAATTAATTCAGCCAACAATTCCCACATGCTCTGGCCAAATGAAAATGTACTCCTATAGAGCTGTCACTTCTAATTGCAATAATGCCTTAAATCTCTCCAATTCTACATTATATTCTGACTTGAAACAAAGCGAACTTGTTTCGTTTTTCTTGTAATTTGCAATTTATACTTTTAGAGGAAACATAAAATCGAAATATGCTTCTTGTAAGTTCCGTTTTCCGATGCTGAACTTTAATTCAACTTTCTATATTACGTCAGAAGGTACTCTTCTAAAATCAATCTGTTGTTGTTATATAGATATCAAATAAAATGTTTGCCTGGTAATTTTGGCGACTCTTTTCATTACTGAAATCCAAGGTCTGATCTATTTTTTGTCCTGGGAATCGTTAGATTTACGTCATCGTAGCGTGCATTAAAACGCCATTACATTACCAATAACCAATGCCTTCCATTATTTTTATGTCCATTTAGTTTTGAAGACGAAACTCTTGGAAGATATTTTATGGGCCATTAAGAATCCAGAGAGTTGTGTGAGTTTGTGGTTTTATGAATAAGTGTAAGATTCCCATTAGTTAGAAGGACATACTTCCTCAATCAGCGCAATCCAGTCAAGTGATTTAAAAAGAACTTTCAGTTTAAAACAAGCTTTGAACAGTTCTGAGAAATCTCTTCACCCCAAAAACAATCCCGCGCAGAACCCTGACTTTCATTAAAAAGATCTTTGTGAAGATCTGGAGGCTACTGTAATTAGTTGTATATCTTCAAATCTTTGTAAACATGTCGACAGCTGGATTGAGTTTTGTGACCATTTTAGAAGAAGATGAAAGGAGAAATAAAACTATTTAAAGAGACTTTAGATCCGTTTAACGTGATTTAGCTTTACATTTTAAAAAAGTGTGTTCAAAATTAGATTGGTTGAGAAAAGTTGCCCGTCCAGTATTGTTGACATACATGCGTTTCAAGTTTGAATTACGATCTGTTATGGATTAACGTGATTTATTTTTACATTTTGAAAAGGTGTGCTCAAAATTAGATTGGTTGAGAAAAGCTAGCCTTTCCATTATTGCTGACATACATGCGTTTCAAGTTTGAATTACGATCTGTTATGGATTTTTTGTTTTGTCGTGGCTTTGGGTTCGTGAAATTCTTGCCCAAGCTAAAACTAATAACGGGTGTCGTACACAAGGCATGTCATGCTTTCTTTTCTAAGAATATCTGCTGAATAGTAGGAAGCTAAGCCCCATTTCCGGTGTTGGCTAAGAAAGTACCTCTGAAATTGTTTTTAGCGGTGCAGATCAGTTGGGTGTGATAGAGCTCAAATCATTCCACTTGGCCGTCATTGGAGTGTGTGTGTGTGTGTGTGTGCTCGTGTGTGTGCTCGTGTGTGTGTTGGTTGGGGGGGGTCTATTTCCTCAAGTTCCTTTAACACTTCATTTTACTTGGTTTCTGTTGACTATTACAAGTTCGAATACATGTAATTACAATTCTATACATATTCTTAATACAACCATCTTTAACAAATATATCCCTGCATTTCATTTGTTCCGTAGTTTTATCTGTTTGTTTGTTGGAGGGGGGGGGGGCGAATGGTTAGCACGTGCGGGCTGTATCACAAGGTCGGCCATTGAGTCAAGTGGCGTAGTTTCGATTCCCGGTTGTACGCGGCAAGGAATAGGGTGGCCTGTCCAACCTCGTGGGTTTTCTCCGGGTTCTCCGATTTCTTCCCACAGCTAAAAACCCCTACGCGCAACCAAATTATTGAAATAAAAAACTGAACCATGTGTTAGTCTCGAAATGACCTAGTTTGTGTCGAGTGGACGTTAAACCCCATTTCTCTCTCTGTCTCTCTCGCTTGTCTGTTTTTTATTTGTTCACGTTGACATTCACAATAAGAAGTAATCTAACTTAAAGCCACATTAGTCCAAAATTATTCACATCGATCAAATTATCGTAAAGGATGTTGTAACCTCTAATTTTTCCATTAATTGTTATTGGTGGCCAACC